TTCTCTCTCTCTCTCTCTCTCTCTCTCTCTCTCTCTCTCTCTCTCTCTCTCATCATTTTATAAGTAAATATAATAATTTTTAAATTAATTATTAAACATTACTTTTTGCTGAACTTTAATTTTACCATTACAACAGTACGATAGCAGTGGAACTTGTAAGTGAGCATTCGATAAGGCGTTCCGATTTATAAGGGTAAAGGATGCTGAAATTGCACGCACATAGGACATTGGACTTGTCAATTTTATGTCTCAGGGTGACGGGCGTAATAGCACTGCCCCTCAGATCTCTGCGTTTTAAGGTTCAGAGTGGCACTGCAACTTTTATGGACAGGCGTGTCGCTTACCACCAGGCGCACGATTTGTTCGTTCCGTTATTTGGTATCATAATAATCTCAGACCAGAGATACTAAAAAACTACTAAAAAATCGACCGCAAAAGTTCGTGGAATAACATTTATTTGCCAAGTTTTATTGAAATCGATTACCGGAAAGTGCATGAAACCGTATTCATCCCCTAGGTGCAACCCTTAAAGGTGGAATATTGAAATTTGAATGGGACCACTACTGTACCCTCTTTCCAACAAAAACAGAATCAAGAAAATCGATTCACAAATGCTTTTATCGCGTAACATACATACAAAAACTACAGTCGAATTGTGAACCTTCTCTTTTTTTAAAGTCGGTTAAAAAAAACAGTGTGCGCTTGAAATATGATTGAAAATTTTTGTTAGTTCTATGGGTGTTACCTATATAACTTACATACATATATAAAATATAATAACTGTCCTTTACGTTTTATCTTCCTGGTTATTCAGATATAGTATCAGCACACGCCAACCATAGAGTCTGTTCGTTGATCGGAGTAGAAGGTGGACACGCCATTGGCGGATCCTTGGGAGTATTGCGGACTCTGTATCAGGTCGGCGTGCGTTATCTGACTCTTACCTCAACCTGCGACACACCGTGGGCCGAGTGTGCAGCAGTCGACCGCCCGGAACCTTCACTGCGAGGAGGACTCACACCCTTTGGAAAGGTACTTTTCACTTTCCGAGTGTATTGCAATGTAAACAAAAATATCCGAAGTTTTTGATGTTCCCGTCGAATATAAATTGATAAATTGATTGTGTTTAATAATGAAAATTATTTCTGAAAAAGAATTAGGTTATAGTCGTGCCTAGTTATTAGATATGTGTTTCTTGGGTAGGCTGGGTAGCACGTAATCAAATTAAGATGGTCACGGTTAACTCGGTCATGGGATCTGTAAAGGACCCGAAACGTTGATTTGTTTGAAAAAACAAATATACGCGATATAAATCTGGAAAAATAGTTTTATTTCCTATACGTAACAATCTGAACTCGATATTATATCTATAGTTCAGTTTAACTGAAATCTCTGAAAATGCTCTAGGTACTTTGTTAAAAAGCCTAACGGGTTATACTACTACATTCAATTTTTTTAAGCACGGTCCGTCTTTATTGCAATGTAACAAAGTTTTTAGCTTCATGTCTTTTCAGTCGACTCAAGTAAAAACTTAGATTTTCATGCGAAATAAACTTGTTTAAACCCCTCGGCCTTTTATGAAGTTTTCAATTTAAAAATACACAAATGAAACACAAATTGAAGCTTCCGAAGTTTATTTAGTTCCTTATTGGGCTAAAATAGCGACTTATCTTTCTTCCTTTTAATTCTTTCGTAAGACTCGGGCAAGATTAGGAAACTTGTAATCTGTTTCACAGATTATATTAAAGGTGGCTCGTTAAGAGTGGATTTATTATCTTACTTATTGTCGCAATCCCTTTATCGGGGTCCGTTTAACTTTAAATTAGTCGGCTTTCTTGATTTCCTACATCTGTTTTGTATTTAATTTTTTGACGATGATGCGGTGTATCAGTTGATGGATATACAATATCCATGTGCAAATAGGAACCATAAACGCTGCCTGGCTATAAACAAACAATCGGCTTTTGGGTTCAAAACATATTCCCTGTACTCGTAATTTGAAACAGGTACCTACTCAAGATGAAACCGTACAGATTGAGACGTCGGATAGAGTAAGTGTGCCATAATCATAAACATCCTGCAGGCTCCGCAATATTTCGCTTTGTATGAACTCCGAGCAGGTCTTTGTTTTCCTTGCAGCGATACTTTTCTGAACATTTCCTTTTGTTCAAACCACTAGCATGCAGCAGCAGAGGCAAATGTAGACGCAAGACTTGAGCCATTTAAAATTGATATTAGTATGTAACTGCCACAATTTTTTGTTATTGTGAAAATTTAAATGCATATTCATGTAAAACTATATTGCAGCATTAATTATTCGTTTTATTGGTTTCGATTCCAATTCGTTTTGACAAAGAAACCCGGGAAGGCGGCAATTAAGCATTAAAGCAAAGTTACTGCAAAGTTGGATAGTGGCTGAAACAATAGGTCTCACTTTATGATAAATATACGAACAGCCACTGCTGTACCGGCTGCATTTGCATCGCATTACTTACCTACGTATTGAGTTATATAATAGCGATCGATGTTGGAATATTTTATTCGTAATTTGATTCTTGGAATATTATTAAAAGCATTAAGAACTACTATCATCTCAAATACGTAACGATTTTTTTGCGACGTATTAGAAAGTTTTTACTATGTACTTAATATTTCCCTATACATAAAATGTGTACAGATATACAATGTAAAAAAGAAAGAAAGAAAGAAACATTTCTTCGGACGTTTCAAATAATACAAAAAAATATATAATATTAATTTAAATTTAAGTTAAATAATAAACAATTTAAAAAAAGATTACTGAATACATAATAAAAGGCTAGCCAGCTCAGCTTAATGCTGGGCAGAGGCACAGCGCTGATTTTCAGCTAGAGCCTGAGAAGAGGTAGATGACTATGCCTATTTGACAAAAACTGAAAAAAATAACAAGTGTTTGATCTGTAAGTAGAATAAAATTATGGCAGTATGCAGTATGCTCTTAAATAATATAAAGTAAGAAAATAAATAATAATAAGAATGATGTCTGGGTCATAATAATACTAAAATAAATTAACAACTAGCTTTAATAACTGATGCCGTTTATTTGTCCTATTAGCGTAAACTCTTTAATTCTTTTGCGAAAACCAGATAGAGAACACTTGATTGTCTACATCAGGTGGTGATAAAGGAAATGAACAGACTGGGTATGCTGGTAGACCTCTCGCACGTGTCGGAGCGTACGATGCGCGACGCACTAGCAGTGTCACGCGCGCCAGTGCTCTTCTCGCATTCGTCTGCGCGCGCGCTGTGCAATGTGACGCGCAACGTGCCCGACAGCGTGCTACGCTTGCTCGCCGCCAACAAGGGCCTCATCATGGTCAACTTCTACACGTCCTTCCTCACTTGCAGTGAGACTGCCACCGTTCAGGATGCTATTGGTAACGTTTGCCTACTCAGGTCTTCAGCTATAGTTATACAAAGTTTCAAAATTGTTTATTGAAAATTGTACCTTGCTTACATGCCGTTCAAGTTTGCAGTTTATACAAGTAATAGTTTGTATAGCTGATGGTTGGGTGGGTTTTGCTTGAATACTAATAGAGGTCCTTTAATCTTAGATTACGTTATAAGTTTATATCTGATTTTTTTAGAGAGTTGATAAGTTTATTTAACTCAGTATATTTCTTATTATATTATTCATACTCAGTTTTGCAATAGATCATCTTTCGTAAGTTACCATAAAAAACCTACGTCACAGACATTCAGAAAGCAAGTACAGCTTATAATAAATAACAGGGCATACCTTACCATTTCTACTGTAAGTGTACAGTATTGTTAATAACGCATAACCAACTAGAGCTTTTTTTAAAAAATATTATCGGCCTAGTAACAAGCAAACTTTATGATTCCATCACATGTGCCCAGAGCGAATGGCTTCGTTTCCAATAAGTTGTTAGAATAGGATGTTGTGTAAACAAAACTCGATACTTTTACCACATAACAAAATCTTTACCCGCAGCGCATATCAACCACATACGTGATATAGCCGGCGTGGACAGCGTCGGATTAGGTGCGGGCTACGACGGAATCAACTAGTGAGTAACTTTTCACTATTAGTACCTAGATACATACAAAGTTTTGTTAATGTCAAATACATATCAACCAATCATCACCTATTGTTAATAAAAATCCCAGAAAGTAGTAATTATACTCAGTAATATTTTGCTTGATGCCTAAATTAGCTTAAGACGACGAATATTCTTAGTGTTTAAAATAAATAAATAAAATAAAATAAATAAATAAATAAAATAATTGTCTGTACTACATATTTACTTTACCACTCAACATATGGTAATTGAAATCCACAAATCATTGATACGTCTTTTTTATGAAAACTAACGCGGCTATCACACATTATGATATAAAAGTAACGGGACTTACTCGCGTAGTATTTTAGTTGGAAGCGGTCCGACTAGTTTCGACCACAATCGATGGTCTTCTTCAGGGGTTGAGTACAACGTTCGAGACCGCGTCACGTCTAGCACTGCGCGCTGCGGCTCTCTGCGCACGCGCCGATGATGCAGTCCGCAGTGGGGAACTCGGGGGGCTGATACGTTGCGTCAGCGCGTCCTGGAACTCTTCTTCGCTACTGCTGTAGAATGGTAACGGTTACAAGTGGAAACAGAGTTGGCGTGTGGCAAATGCATCAACGAAGCCTCGACCCGCATCGATAGAGAGAGCGGTAGCGTACTTACCTTATGTCAAGGGGGGTGACCGATGTGATTGGAAACTTGTGACGCCGAAGGTACAGCAACAAGGCAATATTCCGTCCGCTCACACAGCTGCGATAATTGCTTCGCTCTCCAAAGGACAGAGACCCTCTGGGGGTCCCCGGTGTCTATATGGTTCCCTGGGACTGCGGCTAGTGTTACGTCGGCGAAACGAGACGGAACGTGGCTACTAGGCTAGCTGAGCATATTCGATCCATGAAGAAACAAGATGTCAATGGATCTGTGGTGGCAGATCACTTTTTGAGCTCCGGTGCTGGTCACACATTCGGTTTGATAAAGCTAAGGTTTTAGCGCGGGAGAAGTATTTTGTGCCCCGCAAAATCCGAGAGGCTATTGAAATAAGTAGGCGACCAAATTTTAATAGAGACGGAGTCTGGAGCTTGCCACCGACCTGGAAGCCGTGTGTCTTCATGGCGCTCGGTATGCAGCTGCAGATGTTAGTAGTAACGACGTGGTGAGCTCTGCGTGCTGGACTGTTCCCGACAACAATCGTATGGACAGCAATAGCGAAGAAGAGTTCCAGGACGCGCTAACGCAACGTATCAGCCCCCCGAGTTCCCCACTGCGGACTGCGTCATCGACGCGCGCGCACAGAGCCGCAGCGCGCCGTGCTAGACGTGACGCGGTCGCGAACGTTGCATGCAACCACTGAAGAAGACCATCGATTGTGGTCGAAAATAGTCGGACCGCTTCCGACTAAAATACTACGCGAGTAAATCCCGTTACTTTTATATTATAACATTGATACGTCACTGTGGAGTTAATGCGCGAAGAAATAGTACTAATATTTATTTTCACAACTTCACATGGTGAAGTTACGTCAGACTGAAAGAAGTTTGTGTTAGGACACATCGAAAATATATATTCGATCAAGTGACCCAATCGAGAAGTGGTTTGGGGGTAATTTCTAAATTATACTTACATGTTTTGAGCTACTTTGTATTGTTTTCGGATAAATTATGTAATATTGGTGAATTTTTTTCAATAAATTCACCAATATTACATAGTAACAGTAGGTATACTCGGTTATATCTATGTAAATTGAACTGGAAATTAACAATTAGTGGCACCACGCCTTTTCGCTATTATTTGTGGGGCGGACCCTATTAATGAATTACATTATGACTTGATTTCATAGTCTCATTTGATATATTTTAATATCGGTTCACGGTTTCACTGATCATGTCCCATCACTGGTTCATGAAGTTTCTCATTTGACCTACTAATCAAGCTAAATTTTACAAAGTACCTACATAACGTCGTCTTAGAGTGAATACCTCGTATGTGATTTCTATGTAATTTTTCAGGACGTAGATAAAAATGTGGTATAAAATGTAGTAAACGCAATAATGTTTTGTAGTTAGCATTTTAATTAGTTAAATTATACCTCTTTCAGATACTATATATATACTATACGTTAATATTATTTAAGCAAAAAGTTTATAAGTTTTTCTTCAACAAATATCAGTAAAAACGAACCATGTGAAAACGTATATGCGAGATTTTCACTCCAGGCGACGAGAAGTCAGTTGCCTAAAAGGAGCCATTTTGGTAAATTAATGAGCGACTTGTGCGAGCGTTTTTTATAATATTGCAATCAGTAAAGATGACGGATACGCATTAAATCTTTTTTAACATAATAATTAGCATACTGATCGCTTGAGAAATCATTAATAGGTAGGTACATTTACTCCATGATTCAATAAATTATAGAACCAAAGTCCTTTTAAAATAATCAACGGTATCGCAACTCACCTAGTTGAATTACCCAAGGGAGTACGTGTAATTAAACAACAATTTACAGCACTCCCCAAGGATTGGAAGATGTATCGTCATATCCGTTGCTTTTCGCGGAATTAATGGAGGAAGGTTGGAGTATAGAGGAGTTACGAAAACTGGCCGGGCTGAACTTACTGCGAGTGTTGGGAGCGGCAGAACGCGTTGCAAAAGACTTGTCATCAGCCCACGTCGTGCCCTATGAAGAGGTGTCTCCAAGGACCCTCGACGTACACAACTGCTCCAGTCAAGATCTATAAAACTGCTAGGTTGCATTATAGTCGCATTAAAACCTACCATTTTCTTTATTTTCGAAAAGTTCTCGGAAATCAGTTCTTGGATGTGGTTTTTTAAGAAAATTTGTAGCGTACATAAATTAGGTATTCAAAGTAATCTCTCTTAGTAATTAATTTCCTTTGAACTTACTTTGATTAACATTACAACCTCAGGTACACTGCGGCTATATAATATCGTGTATTCTCCAAGCTTTAATATTTTAGATAAATATTATCTATATACGTAGGGTCGCCCCTCATCGTCGTCCGATTACATTTCACTTTTATGATAAACGATTTTTGGAAAAAATCAATTGTATTTTACGTAGATAGATCAATTTGTACAATTTTATTTTATTAGGAAAATCCATTGTGTTGACAAAAATCAATTACTTTAACTATGTTGTTATATATTTAAACCCTAAGAGAGTTTTTAATCTTATTGTAAAGTAGATGAGTAATATTCTCCCTGTAACATTTATCAGAATAACTGGATACATTTCAAATATAGATGCTGTAACTGTATGCAAGTTAACGTTGGTAATATACTTTAATCACTTTTAATGTTATTCCACACTGTTACGAAGTAGCATCGAGTATATAACCAGAAATAGAGACGAAATGTCATTTAATTTGTTTGAAAACTATTCTTTCAAATCATTTCGGTGACAACTGCGCTCCGATTGGCTAGCCCAAATTCGAAATAATTGACGGGTGTCGTCAGTTGTTTCACTTCAAATCGACCAGTTTAACTTGAGCTTTGCTATAATGGACGATAATTGAAAAATTTGTTTTGTAATTGGATGTTTTTTTGTTTTTCCCACACCACCGAACGGAACAGCCCCCCATAGTTAAAGATATTATCTTTATTACAATAAATACAGAATATTTTTGGAATATACGGAGACATCACACAGGTCAGTTGTTGGCGCTGTGCTTATATTTCAGCTTTCAAATTTGTGATTTCACTGCAAACGAGAGTTGATATTTAAAAGTGATTTAAGGCCCGTTTGCCTGATGAGTTGCCAAAAATGGATATTCCTTATTTCGTCTCTATTTCTAGTTATATACTCGATTCGTAGTAGTAATGGAACAGCTTAACTTTTTTAAACTTATTAATTACCTACCGAACAGCGTACCATTTTGATACAAGGAAAAGTTGAAAAAGGTTCATCTAACTCCCAAAATACTAATTTAAGTTATAGCAATCTAGCCCCAGTATCTTAAGCATCCACCTACCTGCCTATTAACTCCGAAACTACTGAAACAAGTTTCTGTGAACTTAGTTCACGAGAACTAATTTCGTATAGCAATGTTACATTTTGATCGAAGCGGTTAATGAGTAAATTAATAAGTACCTCATACCTATATAGATACTAATTATTTTGAAATGTGAGGAGGGTTCCCACGAGAGGTTGTGTATACAGCAAATACCTAAAGATGATAAATATATTCACTATGTATTACGAACTTAGTCACTTCACCACGGTATTGTAGAAGCGTTGCAGTGGCGTGTCGTTGGCGCCACTATTAATTTTCACACGATATATTTATAAGCGCAGCTGCAGGACCACAGTCGCGTCACGCGCTACTTTTGCAGGCTTGTATGTATGAACGTTGCAGCGTTCTAACAGTTTTTTATTAACCTTTGCCACATAGAACCCTATGATTCTTTGAGCGTTTCGCAAAGAGATTAAAATAGTCACCACGAAAAATGTAAATAAATAATAAAATATTTAAAAGAGGTTGGTCGCTGTATACTCCATTAGAAACACCGTCTATGACACTGTTCCATATATAACACGAATATAGAAGAGTGCAGAGAGTTACAAAAGGGTTTATATACTTTGCGAATTGATAGCGTTCATGGCGCTGAATAACCTGAGCCAAAAGTAAAAAAAATTTTGAGTGTTAGTAGAGTCTCAGGTAGTTACGAGTATTCAGTGTCGTAAATATGTTCATCTCCCAAAAGTATTAATGGACTTCTATTACGACCTGTCAATATTTCTCGGGAACAACTGAACAAATTGTTCACGTTTAAATTAATCGAAATTCAAATTATTTTGAGGTGATATTTCAAAGGAGAGTAGAGTAGTGAAAAAACACATAATACTTATACAGGAATATTTGTAAAATACTATGACAATTTCTCAGAACTATGTTACAATATAAACAAAAACTTTTTATCCAGGACTTTTTACAAAATAAGTTTAGCAAAAATAAACTTTTCAGTTTTTGTTGTACTATCTGATAGAATAGGCATCATCGACTTTCAAGGGACGAAACGCTCTGAAGTCCTACTTACATCCCAGATTAGACCCTTTTCCAATGCTTTCAAAACATCGGACTCACTATTATTTATGACATCAAGATTAATATGATATTCAAAGAAACCTTTTTTACCTTTTCAAGAAATTCCTTGCGACTAAAATTCATCTAACCACGTTGTTATCTAGCTTTACTTATTGACGACCAAACATAGAGTGAACCATAGATTTTAGAAGTGTTAGAAATATATGTACTGACCTAATTATTAAATCTTTTTAAAATGAGTATTGTAATACTTAGACCTCCTAACGCTATATTACGCGTAGTATGTAAATATATATTTATTGTTACATCAGTAATTAATAGTAATAATAGACGGATCTTAAGACTGACATCGTTTCAGTATCCTGGAATAATAAATAATAAAGCGTACATAAAATTATTGCTTGCCTTAGTGTTACGAATAAGGTTAATCACAAATCTTAAGATGTGTTTATTATTTCTGAGATAGAAAGAATTTAAATGTTGCGTTGTCGTCTTAGAGTAGATGGCTAAGTTTGTTTTGATATCTTTCTCCGTACAGAGATGGATCAACTGCGACACATATCTCTTATTACATTGTTGATGGTATACATTTCATGATTAACTTTGATCATGTTATGTGTGCATAGACTTCTTTATATACATTAGGTGACGAGAAACACAAATAATACGAAAAGATAATAGTACAGTCAATAATTTAAATAACAAAATAGGTAGGTGTGTATATTTGTATATGTGTATATGTGTATATTTGTTGTAATATGCGCATGTCATATATATTATGTTTATGAACTGTTTACCTCCATAGAACATTGTGGCGAGGAAGCTTCATGCTACCAACTGAAAAATATAGCAAATTAACATCTTACTTGGTGTGGTACACTTTTTTTGTGAGTAAAGTACTTGTTATTGTGAGATCTATATAAATGCTATTAAAATCTACAGCCGTCATTAAGTAATAATCTCACGTTACAGAGTTTTTGCCACGAACTATATACATATGTACGTAGGTACGCATAAATCGGCTACGGAATAAAAAAAACAGATAAACCTATTGAGGGAACTACCTACCTATTTTTACAACCGGACGTTTGTGCGAGATCTGGATTCATACCAGCATTACAAGAACGTTCATATTGAAGAACCTATCTGATGACTTGTGTCACGCTCTTTTACTACAAATTACTCAATGTATGCCGTATTATCTAAAGTTTATTAATAAGTACTTGCTATTAGTGCTTAAGTAGATATCCTACATTTTGTAATACTGTCCCGAAGCGCAAAAATATACCTTGTAATACCTTTAGAGTTTGTTTTATTTTAAATAATGTGCGACATCTCCGAATATTTCAACAAAGTTGCAATAGACATGTTACTAATATAATGTCTATGTTGGGTAAGTAAACTAGATAAGAAACAATTTACAAAATTTGAAAATAAGAAGCAATAGCACAGAACTTAAAGACCTACAGGTTGCACTACCTACATATATTCCACACACGCAAGGTACTACGAATACTTGAGTGGCGGAAATCAGCCTACTACACCCTACCCTAGCGTACATGTTCCAAGAAGCTTAGATCTGTTGACAATGAACGTTAAGATTTTACGGCTTTTCATTTACACAGGCAGCAATAAAAATAAAATACTATATAGTGCTACGTTTTATATATCTACAATTTGGACTGTCTTTTGTTTACGTAAATTTTACTTACACAATGTATTTCAATTTTAAATAAAAGGAGAAGCGCCTTTGTACGCACCACATTCACGCATTCAGTACCTATTATTACTATGGTACACAAACCTATTAGAAAACAGACAGTCCACCTGTCCATCTGATGGAAAGTACCTTTATAGTAACTACTTCTGTCCATATATGTTTCATGTTACAAATGCATTGTCAGCATTGAGACGTATTAAGTTTCCTGTACATTTGATCGCACTAACTCTCTCTATTCATCAATACGGAATACTACTGCAGTGGTATTTATTTACCCAAGCGGGTTCTGCATATGCCACACAAACTGACGTTCTGGGAAGTGGAAATTCTTCCACGAATATTTTATACCATGTGGGCGATTATTACAAGAGATTTCATTATACTTTCTACAAAAGTAAACTTTCATTTTTTTAACAACACAAGCAAAATATAAAACTTCCAACATTTATAAAAGGTAATAAATAATCATCGTCAACCCATATTCCTCGTGTATTCATAGGTTTTGAGAAAAACTTAAGCGATGGTACTGGGCGGTCTTATTGCTTTATGCGATTTCTGCCAACCTTTGAATGGAAGTAATTATAAATCGATAATTATATAAAGAAATATCATAAACTACTATATACTCCTACACCTAAAGTTAGGTACTGTTCTTTTGCCATATTTTTTAAAATATAAATGATTTCGCTTGTTGAATAGACAAAAGTAAAGCGTTCCACAAACGAATAGCCTGAACAGTAAAGGACCTGTGGTAGTACTAGGAGGTATGCAAGGGCATCTTAAGTTGGAGAGTTGAAAATAAGCACAGTAGTCGGGGATGGATTGATGGGAGAATTCAAATCGCTCCTTAAGATAAGGTGATGTGTGAGGAATGAATAAGATACAGAAGATTTCCGGCGAAGTCTGATGGGTAAACCAAGTGTCCAATCATGTTTCCTGAAACCATAATAAAACGGATGCAAAAGTTTTATACACGCTCGAGCATGTCATTTTCGCAACATTTCACATATTTCAGTCAACAGAATACTGAAATGAATACGATGTCAAGGTAAAGGCCTACAGTCGTAACAAAGTTCCATTCCTAAATGATCGCCTTCATAAATTACGACGCGAACGATGTTCGATGCTGAAATGAATAACGCTCACACTCAACATAGCCCCATAGCAACATAGCCTCAACTAGGGAGACCCCGTGTCGCGGGTGCCATGGACACACACATAGACAACCACAAATTACACCCAAACTCACGAGAGAAATAAATGTAGGCCATACAAATATTTCTCCCGGCCCGGGAATCCAACCTGGGACTTCTGCGTGACAAAAAAAAAAAAAAAAAAAGGCCGGTATGGTAACCGTTCGGCCACGGAGGCAGTTTAAATTACTGAAATTACAAGCACATGAGACTTGTCAACTTATGTCTCAGAGTGATGGGCACAGTTGCAGTGCCCCTCAGATCTTTGCGATTTAAAGTTCTGATTGACACTGCAACTATTATAGACAGGCGTGTAGCTTACCATCAGGCGCATGACTTGTTCGTCCCGTGACTAGATATTATAAAAAAAGAGTGACATTGTACTGTGGTGAAACCCTGTCTAATACTTTATTTCACAACAAAGAGTGGATTTTCCAGTAAGACTCAACACCGGCCCATGAGGTAAAAACGACTGAAGCTTGGTTAAGAAAAAATTTTCCGGGCTTTATCGCGGCGGAAGAATGGCCACCCTCCAATTCCGATATTAAATTCACTTGACTATTATTTATGAACTGAATTGGAGCTCAGGACTTGCCAAAAGTCCCACTCAAACTTAGATTCTCTAAGGCGAGCTCTCGTCAAAGAAGCGAACCGAATCCCACTGGAGAACTTGTATTAGGAATAGAACAAGTAAATTAAGAATAGGTAGTAGTAGACACTAAACAGTGTCCAAGTACCTATGATTATCTGAAAATTTTAATCATATAGGTAACTTAATTCTTTAAAGTGTTATGTACCTAACTTTTATTAGGTCTCAAAATTTATGAACACACGAAGTGCTTCCATATCACTGCTAGGCACGAGTCTTCTATAGAGGGAACTTTTGACAATAGTGATGTGCAGCGAGCGTAGTCTAATACTCATTTTCGACTTTTTGAATCAACTTTTTGAATGGAATTGAAACTTATTACAACGGGAGTAAAACTTAAATCATTCTATAAAAAAACGGCTACAAGTATTAGAAAGAAGCCGCTGGCTAAAACCGTATATCGCGATGTAAGTTATAGGCGTGACAAAATCACAATGATTTATCACTGTGATTTTTTTGGAACCGGAACGACAGTCACGGCGATAGAATTGTAACGCTACTCCCTATGTCAACTCTAAACGACGGAGCCATAGATACAAAAGTTGAAATTGAAGTGGTTGAAGTTCACAAATTAGAAAGATATAGGCGGCGTCTTGTGAATTGTGATTACGAAATACGGTTATATAGCACAATTGATTTGACATTTTTCTGTAACATTTTTATGTGGATTTCTTTTTTACACATTGTTTCTAAAGATAATATATATCTATAGAAACAATGGCGGATAAACCAACTCCTCTATTAGCCGTATTACAGTTACTCCGGAAATATAATTTAAAGGTTATTAATTAATAGTAAACACATATAATCACCTATTTTGTTGCGTTGAGGTATCCTCTTGACAGACGTATGTACCATTTACATAATTTCAGGGTACTGAGGAGATTCTTAAAAAAGAAGCAAGTTTAGGCGATGTGGAAATCGATAATATTGACCTTCCCGAGGTGGAACTGGCCAGTATCCTCACCTCGCACCATACAGAAAGCGATCCCTACACTTACGAAATCGCTTATGATAGCCTCAAAAAGTTTGTTGAGAACTCTTTAGACATGTATAAGGTAAGAAAATCTTTAACACCAAATTTGCACATTGACGAAATCAAAAATTACTATTATATTACATTAATACGAAATGATTTTTCTGCATAGTTTCATATTAAAGTTTCTGTCTATGTGACATCCATTATATATATGTAATGTTTATAACTTTCGTGGTCACTATCTAACTAACTCATTTTAATACAACCCCAAAAAGTAGTAGACTTCTATTTTGTTTTATTGAAACTTAAATATATACAGTCGGCCTTATTTCATTTACCATTTTTATAAGCTACATAATCATGACATCCATAAAATTAAAAGCTTTTTGTTTCATTCATTTCATTTAGTGTGCGAAATTAATATTATTCCCCCCCTTCCCGTTTATTTTTTTGCAGTTATATCTGGCATTAGTATTTTTCATACTTTTAAGTAAATGTAGTAATGTATGTAATTATAACTTTATTATCCTAAATTTGATCTCATTCAATAGATTAGTTGAGTCACCTAAAAAAATTAATTTAAATGATATATATATGTTTTTTCTTTATGGAACCATAACTTCAAAACTATTATTGTAACATTTATATCTCAAAACCACTGAATAATTTGTGAGGGCCATGGCTTTCAAATGCTTGTACAAAATGTTTGAAACTATGTATACACTGAGATTCGCCAGCCTAAAGAGGCAAGCCATAACTGTGTATAGCCAGGGATATACTGGCCTGGGACAAAAATATTGGGTTTGTATACACAAAGCACTGCACATGTGAAATAAAAAAATATACTATTCTTTATACAACATTTGAAGGCAAATTTTCTGTCACTTCAAATTTCAAAACACATTGTGTGCCACACAGATGGAACAGCAATTACAGATTTTTGGGCTATTAAAGCCGTAATTGCCTACTTATTAATGGACCTTATATCAAAATAAATAAATCATCATTATCAAAGTAAGTAAGTTTAAGTACCAGTAGACCTCCTTGTGAAAGAGTTCGTCCAGGGAAGTACTGCCACCTTACCAATTTTTGCCGCCAAGCATTAATGTCAGGATTACTGTGTTCTGGTTTTGAAGGGTAAATTACATGCACATGAGACTTGTCAACTTATGTCTCAGGGCAACGGGTGCAGTGGCAGTGCCCTTCAGAGCTTTGCGACTTAAAGCACTCTGAGTAGCACTGCAATTGTTATGGACAGGTGTGTAGTGTACCATTAGGTGCACAACCTGCTTGTCCCGTCACCAAATATTATAAAAAAAAATACTTTTCACATATAATAACACTATGCACTGACATACAATTGGGTGTGTACATAACATTATATTTTTTGTTACAGCATGAGCTATCCACACTGTTGTATCCAGTATTTGTGCACATGTACCTGAGTCTCATACTGTATGATCACAATGAACATGCTAGTAATTTTCTTGAGAAATTTAGTTCAGAACAAGAAGACTATTATCAAGATGATTTGAAACGTCTGGCCATTGTGAAAAACAAGGATCAGATAAAGGGTAATGAACTAGCTGAGATATACAGGTATGAAAACAAGAACATATAAAAGAATTAAGATATTTTACCTGATTGTTGAAAGTACTCATTAATGCTTTTATTTTACTAATTCTAAATTGATTACTCATGCATCTAATTTATTTATTTATTTATATTTTGGAGGGCACAAACAGCTTATATTACAATAAAATAGAGACTTAATTCAATAATTTGAAGCAAAACAGTTCCCTACTGATAAAAATACAATAATATTTGATGCATTGATAACAGTAAGCCAATATAACATTAACATTAACAAATATAACATAACACACACACACATACTCTTCACACTTTACAAATAATGTATCATCACTCAAACCCGCCAACTCACTGTATTCATAAAAATGAATTAGTTAAATGTTTCTTAACACATGCACAGCTAGTGTTAAATAAGTCAAAATCGTAAGTGGCAGAAAGTTTGTGTTAAAGTTTTTGCTCGCACGCCATATAAACGAATTGCGTTTGTAATTTTGTAAAGCTACAGGCAACTTGGTACTTGGTACTTGGTGTAACGGGCTAGTGTCCGCAACTCGACGTCAAGGCGCCTATTTTGCGTGTGGTGGGTGCAGGGTCCTACTCGTGCCATCCAAGCTCCTCCAGGAATCTCAGCAGCCTCCTCGGTTTGCTGAAGACTTCGGGGAGCGACCTTGGCACTCCAAGGTACTTTGCCCTGTAGTTGGCCACGCCGGAGCACTGTAGTAGGATGTGCGCAGCCGTTTCCTCCCCCTCCATGCACGCTCTGCATAGAGGGCTGTCTGTGATACCTAAATTGAAAAGGTGTTTATTGTATGGACCATGACCTGTTAGGGCGGCAGTTAGAGTGCGAAGCTCTTGCCTGTTGAGTTTAATTAATATTCGTGATAGACTGCCATTGAGCGTTGGGAGTGCTTCCCTCGCCTGTCTACAAACCGTAAGGGTGGTCCATGTATTATTATGTGAAGTTTTTGTACCTTTGTGTATAGTTGTTCTGGACCATTGGTAGGGGAGGGACACTATGGGTTCAGGTCCTACTGCGTCCGTCTCCGACCCTTTTCTGGCTAGTTCATCTGCTGCGTCATTGCCACGTGAGCCGCTGTGTTCTGCTGTGCTGTGTGTGTGTGGATTAAAGGTAATCCACTGTAGAGTTAAGTGGTTTTGTATACATACCTCCATGAGTGCTTGATGGCATTCATAAATGAGCCCTGAGTTTATGTCATAGCTGTTCAGTGCTTGAAGTACTGACATACTCTCAGAGAGTATTCGAATGGAGTGGTTCTTTACTCTTCTCGCTATGATTGCTTCTGCCGCCAACTTGATGCCTATGCATTCAGCCTGGAATACTGTGTTGTGGTCACCAAGCGGTGTTGATATCCTGATATTGAGGTCTTCTGAGAATACCCCAGTACCTGTTCCTGAATTTGTTTTAGATCCATCGGTGAAGACGCGGACCTCTCTGGAGTTCAGTCCTTCATTTGGATCTTCAAACAATTGTATCTTGTATTTTTTGTCAAAGATGTACTGTTTTGGGATCCTATCCACAGCCGCCTCCAGTAGCGGTTCCTCCTTGACTGTCTTATAGAGGATTTCTGTATGTGGGGTCCTCATGTGCTTCCAAAGGCCGGTTCTGTTTAGACGCAATGCTGTTGACGCCGCTTCCTGTCTGATGAACATTGGGAGGGGTCGCAGGTCCAGCATCGCTTCGAGGGCCGCAGTCGGAGTTGTCCTCATGCAGCCGGTCGTTGCCATGCAAGCCAGACTTTGGAATTTGTCCAGCTTGTCGGTTGCGGTCGTCAGTTTGGTTCGTGGCCACCATACTATCGCGCCGTAACTGATCATGGGTCTTATCACCGCTGTGTAGAGCCATAGTGTTATTTTGGGTGAGAGTCCCCATTGTTTACCTACCATTCTATGGCACTGCCAGAAGGTGATAGTGGCTTTTTTAATTTTGTTGTCCAGATGCTTGTTCCAATTCAACTTGTTGTCCAGTATTACTCCCAAGTACTTGACTTCGGTTGATATCTGTAGTTCTGTACTGAAGAGTTTGGGTAGTAGGTAGTTACCCAGTAGTCTTTTGTTTGTAAACATTACTAGTTCCGTCTTTGTTGGGTTTACCGACAGTTCATATGCCCTGCACCATCTTTCCACAATCCAGAGTGCAGCTTGTGTAATGTTGCAGAGTACATTGGCATAATTTCCTGTTACCAGTATAGCTATGTCATCAGCATATCCTACTGTATAGAAATGTTCTTTGTTCAGTTTAATGATGAGGTCATTTACGACTATGTTCCACAGCAGAGGCGACAGTACCCCTCCTTGAGGGCATCCCTTCGCTACTATGGCCCATGGGGTCTTATTTGCTGTTGTTTTTATAGTTCTTAATTTTAGCATGTTGCTAATCCAGCTGATGAGCACTTCATCCACTTCGTGCCTCCTCAGTGCTGATTGTATGCTGGAGAAGTTGGTTTTATCGAAGGCTCCTTCAATGTCGATAAAGGTGCCTAGGCAGATTGCTTTGTCTTTGAGGGCCACTTCTATCTTGCCCACAACGGCATGTAGGGCCGATTCAGTGGATTTACCTTGACTGTATGCATGTTGGTTACCGTGTAGTGGTATGTTCTTAAGCGCTCCATCCCTCAGTTCTCTGTCACATAACCTTTCTAATGTTTTCAAGAAGAACGATGTGAGGCTGATTGGTCTGAAGGACTTCGCGTCAGTGTAGTCGTTTTTACCCGGTTTCGGTATAAATATGACTTTTACCTCTCGCCAGCTATAGGGCACATAGCTGAACGCTAGACATGCCTGAAAGATGTTGACCAGGTGCTGGACCAGTGTGTCCCCGCCCCATTGTAGGAGTGCGGGGAACACTCCATCTTGGCCAGGAGCTTTGTACCGTTCAAAGGTGTTTACTGCCCATTTTGTCTTTTCGTATGTTACTACTTGTTCAGCGTATCGCCAGTTATGGATCGATGTATTGTAGTTCATTTATTCGCACCTTTCGTCTTGGACGAACCTACATCCTGGGAAATGTGCTTCCAGTAGGGTTCTCTCCGTATCCGCAGGGGAAGTTGTGTATGTGTTGTCTATTTTGCGTATTGAACCTAGCTCAGTTGAATTTGACTTGCCTAGGATTTTCCTTATTCTGTTCGCTTGTGCACAAGACGTGATGTTCCCGCAGTAGCCTCGCCATGACGCGGTGCTCCTGAATCGTATGCGCTTTTTTAGCTTGGATTTGGCCGTCTTGTAGTTTTCCCAGTCCTCATCCGCGCATGTGTTCATTGCTCTATTGAAGCGTCTCCTTACCCTTCTGCGTAGCCTCTCAAGCTCAGGCCCCCACCAGTGTTGGCCTTGCCTCGGGGCAGATTCACTCAGTGGGCATGCGGAGTTATAGCTGCTCAATATGTTTGATGTCAGTTCTGTAACCTGTGTTTCTATCTGTGCTGTGTCCAGCAGTCTTCCCGGTGCTACCGGTTCCCCCAGGCTCTGGTGTAGTTAGCTGGTGTAGATAAACTGGTATTGAGCGTTGGGAGTGCTTCGCTCGCCTGTCTACGAACCGTAATTGTAGTCCATGTATTACTATGTGAAGATTTTGTACCTTTGTGTATAGTTGTTCTGGACCATTGGTAGGGGAGGGACACTATGGGTTCTGGTCCTACAGCGTCAGTCTCCGACCCTTTTCAGGAGGTCTACTCTCACATAGCCTTTTTAATGTTTTCAAGAAGAACGATGTGAGGCTCATTGGTCTGAAGGACTTCGCGTCAGTGTAGTCGTTTTTTCCTGGTTTCGGTATAAATATGACTTTTCTCGCCAGCTGTGGAGCACATAACTGAATGCTAGACAGGCCCGAAAGATATCGACCAGGTGCTGGACCAGTGTGTCCCCGCACCATTGTAGGAGTGCGGGGAATACTCCATCTTGGCCTGGAGCTTTGTACAGTTCAAAGGTATTTAATGCCCATTTTGTTTTTTCGTATGTTACTACTTGTTCAGCGTATCGCCAGTTATGGAGCGATGTGTTGTAGTTCATTTCTTTGCACCTGTCGTCTTGTACGAACCTACATCCTAGGAAATGTGTTTCCAGTAGTGTACTCTCCGTTTCCGCAGGGGAAGTTGTGTATGTGTTCTCTATTTTGCGTATTGAACCTAGCTCAGTTGAATTTGAGTTGCCTAGGATTTTCCTTATTCTGTTCGCTTGTGCACAACACGTAATGTTCCCGCAGTAGCCTCGCCATGACGCGGTGCTTCTGAACCGTATGCGCTTTTTTGGTTTGTATTTGGCCGTCTTGTAGTTTTCGCAGTCCTCATCCGCGCATGTGTTCATTGCTCTATTGAAGCGTCTCCTTACCCTTCTCCGTAGCCTCTAAAACTTAGGCCCCCACTAGTGTTGGCCTTGTCGCGGGACTGAGTCACTCAGTGGGCATGCAGTGTTATAGCTGTTCAATATGTTTGATGTTAGTTCTTTAACCTGTGTTTCTATATGTGCTATGTCCAGCATTTTCCCGGTAGTACCGGTTCCACCAGGCTCTGGTGTAGTTTGTAAGTGTATAGTTTACGACCGGTTTTTCGGGAATTCCGTTTCGGTTGTGGTTCTTTGATGGCTGTTTCTAAGCTGAATCTTATCCATCTGTGGTCCAAGAAAGATGCTTCTTCGGACACGTGCCAGTCTTGGACAAGATTTACAGCTCCTTCTGACGCTAGGGTTAGGTCTATAATCGTCTTGCATCTTTTATTTACGAATAGTGGTACTGTACCTTTATTAAGGATTTGAAGGTTAGTTGTGAATAAGTATTCTGTTAGGTTCTTACCTCTGTTATTTTCGAGTTTCATGCCCCACAACGGATGGTGAGCATTGGAGTCAGTGACCACGACGTTGTGCTGGCCATTCTGCTCGCAGTATTTGATTAGCCGTTCCATTTCTTGCGGTGGTGGTACATCAGCCTCCGCCATATAGACCGAGGCGAGCACCACTTCAGGCAGGCCCGTGGCCGTGTCAGCTAAAAGTTTGACGGCACACAGGTCTCTGGAACAGATTTCTGTTAGTGGCTGTATATGTAAACTATTAGAGTAGTAAATGCATGTTCGTGGTTTATCTGAGCTAGTGGTGGATAATAGCTTACCTCTCAGATGTGAGAGTCCATTTATTTGGCCGCGGGCACTGATCCACGGTTCCTGGATCAACGCCACGGCTGTGTTGTTTACCTCCAACCACTTCCGGAGCCGAGCCGTTGCGTCCTGGCTGTGGTGGAGGTCGTTCTGGACGACTTGCAGTTTATTTGAGCGAGGGGGATACCGCCTTCACCAGACAGCAGCGCCACGTCCTCGTCCTTGCTCAATCGGATGTCTCCCATCCCCAACACACACTCGTCGTCGCTAATGGACACCGCCGGGCATTCGTCGGTGTCCTGAAGAAGCTAACGCAATCGGCTCACTGTTTGCACTGAGTCATCGGTTAAGTGTGCAGACTATTTCAGTAGCACTAGAACTCATTGTGAAAGAGTTCATCTAGGTACTGCCACCTTACCGACAGCATTGAAGCACTGAAGGACTTTCCTGGCTCTGACAGATTTAATGTCCTCTGGTTGTGGCATGTGCCTTCCCAGTACGGAACTTCGTACGCCCATCAGTGTAAGAGTGCTGGTGAAATTACAGGCATATAGAGCTTGTCAACTTATTTCTCGAGGTGACGGGCGCAGTGGCAGTGCCCCTCAGATCTTTGCGATTTAAAGCTCTTGAGTGGCACTGCAACTGCTATGGACAGGCATGTAGCTTACCAGCGCACGACATGTTCGTCCTACTAGTACTAAAATAGCGTTATTCCAATCCCCGAAAAATCTCCGCAGTTTGGGAAATTCCCCACAAATACCAAATTTGTTAGGATACGTTAAGATGCACACGACACTCTGAAATGGCACAATTTTAGCTTTATATTTCAGCTAAACTAACCAGCAGATCGAGCTAGAGTTTCTTTTACTTTAGAGTACTATTAAGTTACAAATTTTTGGAATAATAAGTTTTTGTAGTTTTAAATGAGTCAATGAAAACTGGTAATCTGAGGTACACCCGCCATATTGACTGTCAATACGGCGGGTGTACCTTTGATATTGCTATAACTTCGTTCTGATGGAGGTACAAATTTTTAAACAGTGGTACTAAATAATACAATGTAGGTACGTAAATTTTTTTCATACCACATTTGTCAGAATCCGTTAAGGTACATCTGCCATTCTGTCTCTCACTAAAAATGTATATATTATATTGGTCACAATGCCTGAATTAAATAAATAAATAAAAAATATATAATTGTATTTCCAGTTCCAATAAATTTGTGGTTCAACTATCAAGAGATGCATCTTCGCAACTGAAACGGTACTTACAAGAACAGAAGAGTTCCACTGTCATCATTAACATTATAAACAATCACATTCAGATTGAAGTACATGATGGACCTGGAAGAACTCAAGCTCAAGTGAGGGCCACAGCTGGTGGAATCCTAGGAGAAGCCACTAAGAATGGTCACTTTATTATTCATTCATTAATATAATAAACGAGGCCTGTACCCGGGTCGGCCTAGGCCTGCCTTTCTTAAATATAAAATTTAAATAGAAATTCTAAAATTTAAATAGAAACTTAAACATTAGTAGTACCTATCATTTCATGTAGGTTCCTTATTCTTAATACACCAATAGACTGTTTCCAATATTTCAGAAAATCGCACCAAGGTTTATTATGGACTGTTAAAAGAACCTGATATACAAGTTCTTCCAGCACCAGTGGAAGATGAGGAAGAACCAGAAGAGACGCCTGATAAGCCAAAAAAGAAAAAGGCCAAGAAGGACAATATATTCATGAAAAAACCGAAATCAGACCCAAATGCTCCACCTAACGATAGAATACCTTTACCAGAATTGTATGTATTTGAACTATTAATAATTATTTGATCTAATTGTTTGCACCACTTTTTTTAAGTATGTAAAAAAAATTTTTTAGGAAAGAAACTGACAAATTAGAGAAAGGCAAAGCAATAAGAGAGGCTTCAAAACGTGTAGCATTGGGGCCTGAAAGTTTACCATCAATTTGTTTCTACACACTGTTGAATAGTGGAAACACAGCAATTTCCGCCGACATTTGTGACGATTCCACCCTTTTGGCAGTTGGATTCAACAATTCCACAATAAAGGTATAAACACTCAATCAGCAGCTCAGCTGCCCCAGAGCAAAACCTATTAAGGGACAAATTTTTTGAAAATAATTTATTTAGTGTTCCACTATTCCTATAATAATAACAGTGACAGCCACTTCAAAATCCTACAATTTACCAGAAATTTACAATACTTAGAACCTAGTAAGGCACATCTAATTTAGTAAGTAATTTTGAGCAATTCAAAACTTAGCAAATATTTGAGACTTGCCAGGTTTTAAAGTATTTAAAGCGCCTTACTAGGTATTTGAATTGGCAAATCGACGGGGGACCTCAAGCTGTTTTACGAAACAATTAATATGTACAGGGTGGAAAAAATCATTGGGGCATGATGGGGAAATGGAGCTAACCAAAAATTCCAAATACTCACTATTTTATTGACTAATCTATAGCATCAATGATAAGTATAAAATCTCTCTAATAAACATTGTGTCGTACAATTAAAAAATCCATGAAAAATGTTTAATACGTAACTCTAATTTAACCCTACCTGGTAAAAACACATTATAATTTTTTAATTAAACCTACTGGAGAAGGATCACAATAACATATTTCATCAGGCCTGTATTCCGGCTCATAATAGCAATATATCCACTGATTACCTTAATGACAACTTCAATATCTGGGTAGGTACAGGCGGTGCCCTCACTTAGGTATTCACTATTTGTATATCACTTAGTACAAATAGTGTAATATCGACTTTCGAGTAATATCTCCAGACCTTAAGCATCTGATCATTTTTTATGGTGCCTTGTAAAACAATTGATTTCCAAAAATTCTCATGAGACTAGAAGAGTTAAGGCTTAAGGTACAAAATGTGATTACCATTCAACACGACACTTTGCAAAGTGAATCTCAAAAAAGCAATCTGTGTATGAAGGAAAATGAGTCGCACTTCGAGCACTTAGTTAATTTTTGTAATAATAAAACAAAATATTAGAAAATTATAATTTGTAAGTGATTCCTACATGGCTTCACGTTAGAGACGATATCAAAATTAGAGTTCATGTTAATCCTTGATTGTAAGACCTAATGTTTATTGGAGACATTTTATCATTAACATCCTATCCTCCACCTCCTATCTATTAGTACAATAAAATAGTGAGAGTTTATATTTTGCATTTTTAGTTGTTTCGAGGCAAGCTTTATAGAAAATCTGTAAATGCAGTTATTCATATTAAAAAAAAAAAAGTATGTTTCCTTTTAGTAAATATAACTATTTTTTAACGCATTTAAGGCATAGACAACTATGGATTTAAGGTACCTCCTGGTGACTTTTCCATCCTGTATATCAGTATCCTGTTAACTGCCTCCGTGGCCGAACGGTTACCATGCCGGACTGCCACGCAGAGGTCCCAGGTTCGATTCCCGGGCCGGGCGAAATATTTGTATGACCTACATTTATTTCTCTCGTGAGTTTGGGTGTAATTTGTGGTTGTTTATGTGTGTGTCCATGGCACCCGCGACACAGGGTTTCCCTCGTGCGGGGCTATGTTGAGTGTGTGCGTTATTATTATTATTATTATTAGTGGATAATAAACTTTACTGATACTGAAAATCTTAGTCGTTTTATTAATTTCATTAGTAAATCAAAATCAAATTTTATTCCAAATTTTCTTGTACAATAACTAAACCAAATACCTAACAAATGCACGTACTGTGTTTTGATTCTGGCTGCTACGGTAACTTTACTACGTACACACGTCGGCACACCAATCTACACATTGACATATCTTGTTCCGTTGCACTGGAGGCGATATTCGAACAAAAATGTGTAGTCAGATGTGGCGTTGTCTGTACATAAAGACTCAAACTTAGTAAGGGATACAAAATATATGTATAATATATGTATGAGTTGTAACATTTTTTGTAACATATTGATGTTGCAAAAAATGTTAAATATTAGTTGATTGGTATCCTACTTAATACTATTAATTTATTTTACATTAAAAAGGAAAATTGTTCAAGGGCAATATTGATTTGCATTTTTGGTCTCTTTTGTATAATTTTGCCTAAAGCACTTAGTAGGTTTTGCTATGGGGCAGCGGAGCTACTTACTGAATAAACAACATCATGGAAAAGCCCGTATAATTAATTGGTATTGAAGGAGCTGGCTGCTTTCCACTGCTGTCTATTTTGTATGCGTTGCAAGTCCTAATATTTCAACCTTAGCTCCTCTAGACATAACAGCATCCTGGGGTTATCCAACAGTTCTTGCAGGAGCCTTGGTGCACCAAAGTGTTCGTATTACCATTATAATATAATTAATATAGCATCTATGTATATAGTGTATAAATTTGTATTCAATAAAATTAATTGGATTATTTTAGGTTTGGACTCTTACACCTGTGAAGTTACGTGGGATGAAATCAGCAGAAAAATTGCAAGATATTGATAGAGAAGCAGGTACGCAAATTTTATTTCCAAAATCATCAAACATATTTACATTGCTTATGGAAGTGTGTGTTTTTACGTTGCCACAGAACTAAAAGAACAATGGCGAAATATTTGTTGAAAGAATTTTTTACCGTCATCAAGTATCACAATTACGAAGAAATTAATTCGATTTTTCAAATCATAATAAAGGCCTGTCGAACTCTGGAAATACAATCATATTTAAATAAAACTCAAATGACTAATTCGTATGTGACTATTTCTCAAAATAATTGTACGTAATGAAAAGGTCGTTACGAAATAGTACATACATAAAATTTAAGCATTAAGCCATTGACCTATTATATAAATGGACATCGGGTTCGCGCTAAAAAGTGTCCGCACCTATAGGGCGTCAAAATCGCATACAGAGTGTCAGTCGCGCAACAGTCTTCGTTTGTTCGACTGTTGTCAATCATGCAGTACCATATAATAATAACTTGTAAAAATTACTGCAGTAAATTGTAAAAACAGGATTTTGTATCATATTTTCACTAAACAAATATATTGTATTAATTAAATTTTTATTGAATTGATATTCAATTATTTTTTGTGAAATTACTCCACTAGTTTGTTATAATTATTAATACAAAGATCGAACACTCAGAAACATATATTGTGTTATCATAGTTCTCATTTAAAAGTGTTATTTTGTACAGGTTTGGTAGTATTTAATTTATACATAAATGAGTCGTAAATATAAATTACAAAAGCACACAAAATAATCAAATAGCTAACTGTCCTTTTTCTACACATTGCATGTGCAAAAGATGGAAAGAGACCCATTACGTCAACTTCAAGAAGCTTAAACTTCTTGGTCATTTTCAATTGTTCGAACCACAAGCGATTGAAATATTTAGAACAAAGAAACTATAGAGTCGCTTTGATTTTAATTTTTTATCAAACGTTAGCAATAACTAACAAAATATTGTTGTACTCGTTTTACGGCTTGGGATTACCTATCAGAAGTCAGAAAATACATTTGTCCGAAATAACATTAGCTCGAATTTTCATAATGTCAAATGTATTTTTTTAGGAAGATTACAAAACAAAAGCTAACTTTGTATTTGTGAAAAGCACCAAAATTGCTCGAAAGCATAACGGTTGTATTATCAATCGGTTTTCGGAATTACGGATATTTGAGTTTACGTTTAGGTGGAATATCGGTACATTTCTTATAGTACGCGCTTATTTTCACATTTGTAGTGATATTTGCATGTATGTATCTGCCCAAATCTTTATTATTTCTTTAAGTGAATTTGTACAAAACTCGACATAATAATATTTATAAAAAATAATTAATATTTACGATAAAGGCCATTACTCTTGTGTTCAAGTCATTTTCAGTCGAAGCTAAATATGGTGCATTTTCAATGCATTAAGCTTATTAATTATTATACGTTGACGAAATATAATTACTTTAATCACTCTTGACTTTTTGTTGTTTTAGAAAACCAACATTTGCGGGTATGGCAAAGAGCAAATAAAAAAAGAATAAATTATTTTGAAATATACAGTGTGTTAATTGACATTCTCGCCATACATAAGAAATTAATAATGGAAAGAATCCTAAATCATCTAAAAATATTTAAAAAATTATTCTGTGCAATATTCTGGCTAATTGTATCTAGTAAAGTTTTGCAAAATTGTCTCTAGTCGTATGTACCACGCAAGGGCAGTGACCACGCTACCCGCTTTACCGAGCGATACGTAGTATTTTTTTGAAAGTTGTGATTACGTACTAGTATTGTTATAATTTACTATTTATTTACATTATTTATAAAAGTTGACTGAAAAAAGTTCTTTGTAACTTAGATTTAGTACTCATCAACTTTAGGTTACATGAAAGTATTGCTAGAAGTACCTAGCTCCACAGCTGGTGGCTGGCCCCGGTACGGAGATTCGTACCTGAGTTTCGTTTCAACATTAGACTCCACAACTTTGAAAGCAGAAAATTCGACACTCGTATCCTCCGCGTGAACTAAACGTTTCACATCATGCCATAAGAATAAAGACGCACTTGTACTTGATGGATTACCATGAAGGTTCTGGTGAACCTGGTAGCGGTTCTTTTTTGCACTACTAACTCTTGTTTACATACCATTCTTTTTTGCACTACTAACTCTTGTTTACATACCAAACTACGTGGCATTTCGTAACAGTCTAGAATAGAATGTATGCGGGATGTCAGCGTGACCTAGACGCAGTACGGGAAGCAAGGTCGACTGATCTACCAATCGCGCGCTCGATACGACACTCCCTCGCCGTCGTTACCCGCACCCCGCCACCGAATAGATCTAAAATACGTTTCTTTCTGCGCATTAAGGTCATTGTTCAAAATGTTTGCAAGTGCCGTGCAAGTCAATGACCTTTGGATCAAATTTGTTCGCCGCAATTAAATCAAAGATTTTGGTTCAGTTTCGGATATAGAATGACCTCTGTAAATATGGCGAGAGTGCAAATCACCACATTGTATTTACTGGGTTCTTGAAACTTATGTTATGAATGAGAAATCCTAATTAATAAAAAAGTATTGTCAATACAACCATAAAATCACAATTATCAGAAAAAACTTTAGAATTCCCATATCTTGAGAGATTGGGATCTGATTTTTTTAATGGTTATTATGGTTGTTGTCAGTAATAAAAGTAAATATTGAATCCTAGAAATTTAAAAAAACCAGTGATTGCACTACCATTAGTGCAACTTTAACTGCCTCCGTGGCCGAACGGTTACCATACCGGACTGCCATGCAGAGGTCCCAGGTTCGATTCCCGGGCCGGGAGAAGTATTTGTATGGCCTACATTTATTTCTCTCGTGAGTTTGGGTGTAATTTGTGGTTGTCTATGTGTGTGTCCATGGCACCCGCGACACAGAGTTTCCCTAGTGCGGGGCTATGTTGAGTGTGAGCGTTATTATTAAAAAAAACCACTGGTTTTAAAAAAAATCCCTAATGCGTTTATTTATTGCCACCATCGAAAGGAAATAAAAAAACTTTTTATTAAAAAAACTTGAAGAATTTGATTTTTTAATTTCCATTTGTCACCACTGGCAACAACTGAGATTCTTTTTAACCCGTTTGTCACCACCTGTAGGGCTAGCAGGACAGGGCGCGACTTGCGCGAAAGCGACATAAAGCGTGAGATCTCTATGCGAGAATAGCTGTATCAGTAGCGCCCTGTCGTGCTAGCCCTACAGGTAACATATGGGATTTTTTTTCCTCATTTTTCCTCAATAAAGCCAGTGGTGATGACTGGGAATAAAGGGATTTTCTTGATTTATATCAAAGTTTAATTATATTTGTATTGTGCATTAATTAGTTAACGTTCTCTTTTAACAAACTTTATTGTAAATATAGATAAATAGCCCGTTATTTTGAAGTTATCGTTTAATATACAAAGTTGAAATGACCGAACTGTAAGCTTTCATAAGTAATAGTACTTTTGAATCCTTGACAGAATTATTTGACGCTAATTATTGACATATTATTAATGAATTTACTTTTATATCTTTTGTAATATTACTTTATTTGCAATATTTCACAATTGCATTAATTTATTGTAATAAATAGTAGTTGAATTTGTATGATTGATTGATTGTAATTATAGTAAGTAGTTGAATGACATATACTATATTATATGCAAACTATGGTAGAATAAGCTGTATTTACTTAAAAAAAGAACGTAATTAGGTACCTTGTTCTGACAAATAAATACATTGATTGTTTGATTGATTGAAGTACACAGCATACCCAGGAATCATGGAGACAGATTTTGTAGTAAGGTGTGATTCAATTGTGAGAAGTATGTCAATACTTGTGGTCTTTAATAAATAACGTTACTTCTTCACCTTCATGAGAGGCTGTTCGATATTCCTTAACTTTAAGACTAAGCAATTTTTTTTTTCCTTTAGGAGATGTTCTCGTCAGGATGATGGAAGAAAAAGATAGAGACACGTGTCGTACACTTTTTGGACATGGGGGACCCGTTTACAAAGTAGGATTTGATCCCTTCAAAACCATGCTACTGTCTTGCTCTGAAGATTCTACAGGTATCAGAATATTGTTGTGTAATAATGTGCACTTTTGTCTTATTATATTACATTTTGCAACCAACTTTAATAACGAAGTACGAAATTTGAAAACTAAATTCTTAGGACACTGACAGAATAGATTTAAAAAAATTAAATATGTGGGACCAGCGTAATATGACTAAATTCTAAGTTATATGAAAAAATGTATATAGGTATATGCGTTAAGTTTTATTTTGTACGTAGTTTATTTTTTTAATCTACTATGTTTCTTTTGTAACTTCGTCACTCTATTATTGATGGGAAATATTATATATCTAGGTACATAACCACTACACAATATTATTTACCTTTTACTCATTATTCTAAATGTTTTTCAGTAAGACTCTGGTCCCTTCAATGTTGGACGTGTTTGGTAGTATACAGAGGACATATATGGCCAGTTTGGGATGTCCGATGGTCAACACATGGCCATTACTTTGTTTCAAGTGGCCATGACCGGACAGTTCGCCTCTGGGCTACAGACCACCATCAACCATTGCGGGTCTTTGCTGGACATCAGTCAGATGTGAATGTAACTATTACTTTGTGATACTAATCCACCAAGGTTTTGGATTAATACTCCCGGAATAACTTTATCATATACTATTTACTCAAATACTTAATACTATTTTATAGTGTGTCCAGTTTCATCCGAATTCCAACTACATTGCAACTGGCTCAAGTGATAGAACAGTTCGTGTTTGGGATTGTCTAACAGGCACCAAAGTCCGAATCATGACTGGCCATAAGGTATGTCAATATACATATATTTAATCTGTGGAACAATCAACACGTTTAATAAAACTATTATTTTTGTACAATAATTACAATTATAGTTAAACATTTCTTGTCCTTCTATAACTTTATTCTTACAAGCAATTCACACTTCAACCACACCCCGAACACTCCATACAACGCAACTTATTTTACCTATTACCAGAGAATAAAGAATAAGGGAACGGACACTCTCCGCCCCTCCCTAGTTTTAGATACCGCACCCCGCCCCGCACATTGACGGTTAAATTTTTGAACGACAACAAGGCTGCCGGCGAGCCGTTTTCACGCGAAGACGGCTTTGATATTTGAATATATTTTTCATTTATTCATTACTAAACTTGTACGTTAATATAAAACATCATTTTACGTTGTTATTTATAATGGTCGTGAATTGTGCTGTGTGTACGGCTGTTTATCATCATTTTCCGAAAGATGAAACGAAGTAAGTAAAAAAACTTATGTCTGAGACTCATTCAGTTATTGTTTGCTTGTATGTATAAAAAATACAAATTTAATATATGAATAGAATGAGAGGCCATGACTTCGCTAATTTGATAAATATTACGTAGGTAGTGAATATATTTAATTATTAACTAAACTTGCCAAGCAATTTCAAATACCTTGGTTACCTTACTTAAAAGTACAGGTCCGAAATATAACATTTTAAGTACTTTTAATATATTTTTGGAATAAATCTTCAATATTACTCTAATTAATGGATTAATGAGAAATATAATAATGTATCGATGTAAATACTTATTAGACATGTATCATTATTAGGATTCTATTAATAGAATCATAGATAACAGATTCGCGATAGAATTTTCGCTATGTTGTCGCTCTGATCACGTAACGTAATAGTGCGAGAAACTGATGGGTAACCTTGCCACTTCACGCACACATTTGCGCGTGTGCAGATAGCGCCTTGCTGTATGTAGTAGTAATAAGTAAATAATTTTCGACTGTTGTATGGAGTGTCCGGGGTGTGCTATTACTACTACGTATAGCAAGGCGCTGTTTGCACACGAGCAAGTGTGTGCTCGAAGTGGTAGGGTTATCCATCACTGGTTAAATAAATAAATAAGTATCTAAAACATGAAATTTCTCAAGGGCATATATTATTTCTCGTTTATATTAATGATCTGCCATTCTGTGTTAAGGACCTTTGCGAAATAGTATTGTTAGCTGACGACACATCCTTGATTTTTAAAACAGACAGACATGGCGTTAACTATGACCATATGACCACGCTATCTCTCTAACGTAGTTTATTGGTTTAATTCTAACAATTTATAGTTTAATGCCAAGATGACAAAGTGAATTTGAATTATCCTACGTAAAATTGACTAGTCCAAGCATAGAAATAAACGGAGAAAAGTTGGATCTTGTTAATAAAGCAGACTCTCGGGAGTGACCTTAGATAGTAAACTTCAATGGTTTCCGCATATATTTTCCCTGACCAGCGGATTAAGCTCCGCTGCAGACGCAGTCCGCAGAATTCGTGAGCTTACCGATGTTAGTACTGCTAGACTAGTTTACTTTAGTTACTTCCATAATATAATGTCCTACGGGATTCTCATGTAGGGTAAAGCAGCAGACACACAAACTATATTAGTGTTACAAAACCGAGCGATTCGTTCTGTGTACCGTTTAGGTTCTCGGGTTCAGGGAAACAAGTATCATGACTGTGGCATCGCAGTACATTTACTCAAATATATTATATGCCCGTAAAAATATACATAATTTCATTACAAAAAGAGGTATCCATAAAATTAACCTTAGAACTGAGTCCAATCTCATGGTACAGGATCAAGAGCACGTCAAGCTTGACACTTAAGAATTCAATCCCACTCTATGCCGCTTACGATAAGAACGGTCCAAAGTACAAAGTATCAAGCTTGCCGTGCTCTTGCCTGTACCACGATTTCGTTTAACTAAGGTAAACGATTCTTTTATGGGGGAACTGTGCACGTTTTTGCAACAAACTTACGTTAAAAGCATTCTACATAGGGCGCACTACAAGTTTCCAGAACTGGCCACTTACATAAACAATATTTTTTTTTAAATTACAACATTTGAAAATGGAACTCTTTGGCTGTAGAATATAGTTTGTTTCATCTGACTGTCACTTGATTTTACATTGTGGCGTCATTTGAAAAATTGGTTGTCTACATAACCATGGATTTAAATCGTGAAAATTTTCGTAGTATGATTTTCTACGACTTTAAGCGTAATTTAACAGCTCTAGCTGGTTTGCAGAATTCAAACGCGGTTGTGTGAATCTCAGTGACGAATTTCGTGATGGTCGCCCGTCCACTGCTGTGAACAACAAAAACATCGATGCTTTGCGCCGTACGATCAAAACAGACAGTGACATACGATGACATTCGGGCATCTTTAGGCACAGGCATGAGTCAAATACAATCAATACTACACAAACATTTGGGTGTAAAAAAGCTGTGCACTCGGTGAATCCCACACAATTTGACTGAAACTCAAAAAACGGATTTCGTCCCTTGGTGCAATGCCATGCTTACCAGATTCAACGAAGGGGCGTCAAATTTGGTGTGAGACATAGTAAGAGGTGACGAAACATGGATTTATAGTTACAATCCCAAAACAAAGCAGCAAACAAGCGTATGGGTCTTTCTAGATGAACCGAAATCAACCAAAGTGGCGCGCGTGCAAAGTGCCTCTAAGCGGATGATTGCTTCTTTTTTAATAAAACTGGACACGTGGCTACTGTTGCTTTGGAGCAGGGGTTCCCAAACTTATTTTGTCTACTGCCCACTTTGAGAATTAATTATTTTTTAGCGCCCCCATTTTTTCACCTACTTAAAAACTTCAAATTAAATCAATTATTGTGTGCTATATTAGCGGAAATTATACATTCATTCTAAACGAGATTTTTACTATAACCCGCAAGAATTAACTTGAGACCTGAGCGCAGCAGGTAGTACGCAAAGGCGCTCAGGTCTCAAGTTAACCCTTACGAGCTACACCTGCTAATGAGAATGATTATTGAAACGCAACTTTACAGTATCAGCCAGAGTAACTTTTATTCAAAATAAAACAAACATAATCAATTCTAATATAAAAAACTAATGTGAAGGATGAATTTGATACTGTTTCATAAGTTTGTTGATATCAGGTTCCAATTTACTCAAGTATTGCCGCAAGTTACCACGTTCGGTAAAATGCAAACGATTTCTGTTTAAGTAAACAGCGTTGTCACAGCACTAAAACCACGTACACACAAATATGACGATGGGAATGCTATTAAGAATCGTTGAACGATTGACCACAATCCAGGGCACAATTGCAGGATCGGTTTTTGTAGCCAAAATTCTTGGTAGACATTTTTGAATTTAATTTTATTTCCTCGTTCGTTGTTAATTCTATAAGTTCTTCTTCCAGCTGAGGTGATATTGCTGTGTTGACATTTGAAAACGGATCCAACACCAAGTTTGGTATTTCCAAATTCAAAATGTCCTGGTATCGTTCGGTGAAGTCAATGTGGAGGCTTTCCAAATGTTGGTAGTAGACAAATAAGTCTTCGTTACTGCAGGATACTGATAACTTCGGAAAATTGTGAAACTCACGTCTGCCCATATTATTTTTGTGTAGAAGCAGTTTGGCTGCGAAAGGAGCAACGACATTATTTGTTTAAATTAAATTTAGTTCATCGCCTTGCAGTTGGAGATTCATGTCGTTGAACAATTTATACAGGTCTGTCATGTAAGCTATATCATTCTTTGATGTAATGAGCTTATTGGGCAATTCTGTACCTTTAGTTTCCAAGAACTCTATCACGGAGTCAAACAAGTTGTAAAATCGAGTCAGACAATTACTTCAGTATGAAACAACAAACGGTTGAAATCTTCGTCATTAGTAACACAAAGCTGATGAAATAATCTATCATTCAAAGAGCTGTTACGGATTCTATTGACTGCTTTGATGACATATTGCAGTGATTGAAATAGGGTTTACTTAAAGTTCTAGCAACCAAATGTTGTCTATGAATAACGCAATGTACAGTAAGGCCATCTGGAATTTTATTTTTAAGTACGCTATGGCTATGCTATGAAGCCTTTATGGCACCCTGTCATAGCCGGAGCGCCATCCGTAGCAACTGACATAATATTTTTCAATGGAATCTCTTTCTCATCACAAAACTTTTCCAATGTTTTGAATATGGTTTGGCCTTTTGTATCGGTCTCTAAATTTCTAGCAAACAATAGTTCTTCACATATTTTCTCATTTGTAATGAACCTCACGTAAGACAGCTACAATGCTTCATTAGTTGGTAAGTGGACTCATCGAGCTGAATTGACAATTGACTAGTCCTCAGATGATTGCACAATGATTCTTTAATGTTTTCAGCCATTTCATCAATTCGTCTTTGCACAGAATTATTACTGAAAGAAATGTCTGAAATTTCTTTATTAAAGAATATCTGCGGCCCGTTTATGAAGCACAGTAGTTCTTACTTCCTTTATTGCTGGCAAAATTAACTCTTCTCCGATGTTGTGTAGTTTGCCTTTTTGAGCAATTAACAAAGAGATATTGTACGAAACTCAAAGTCCGTCGTCATCTTGCTTAGCAGCCGCCGAAAAGAATTTTGCTACATTGGCTGAGTATTATGCTTCCTCTCTAAGGGTCGTATACCAGAACTCTACTCAATGCTCAAGTCAGGATCTGAGTATGATTTCGAGTGCTTTAAACCATACTCAAATCCTGACTTGAGCATTGAGTAGAGTTCTAGAATACGACCCTAAGTCTTGAAAATATGCTACATTCTTATCTTTCTTATCTGGATGCATTTTATTCAAATGATCTTGCAGTCTTGAAGGCTTCATTGCTTCATTCGAAAATGTTTTTAGACAGAAGGCACAAAGGCGACGATGGGTTTGTGGGATTTTCAATGAATCTGAATTTAATATATTCCGCACAGTATTACCGTCTCTTCTGTT